TGAAAAATGAGATCCAGAGTTGTTGTGAGGATAAAATGATATAATATTTGTAAGATGCTCTGAAAAGCTTAAAGCATTATATTAATGCTAGCTATTATTAGCTCCTTTGCCCCTTTTACAACGTTTAAGCCATATATCATTATCCCCTCAAAAATTCTGCCCTCTTCAAAACTTCTCTATTACTATTAAGCACACCACTATCCTCCCAGTCACCTAGGCTCACATCTCAACCTTGACTTCACTCTCATTCACTCCATATATCCAATCAGTTGCTAAATTTTGTACGTTTTAACTTTCAAAATATATCTTGTCTACAGTCCCTCACCACACGGGCTATTGAAAGAGCCTCCTAAGACTACTTTGATTCTCAACCCACTCCCATCCAACCTCCTTACTACTGCCAAAGTGATTTTTCTAAAGCACAGGAGATCTAACTATGTTACCCTATTCCACCTACACTCAAGCTGTAGGACTCCATATAACTTCAGGTATCAAATGTACACTGCAAGCTCTTTAACCTATAGGCCCCTTACCCATTTGTCTGCTCTATGCTCCATTCCCTGGATAGTCCAGCCATACTGGTTTACTTGCTGTTCCTAACACAAAAGGATCTATCCCTGCCTCTGTAACTTAATACTGACTGCTCCACCTGTCTGGAATGCTTTCCCTCTTTACCTCTCTCTTTTAGAATCCCCGACTTCCTTCAAAGGTTCTCTTCTATATCCTTTGTATCTTTGAAGTACCTATTTAGATGCATGTTGTCATCTCCATTAAAATGTAAGCTCTCTGAGGGTAGGAACTCTTTTTTTTTTTTTTTTACCTTTCTTGGTATCCCTAGTTCTTTTCAGTTCTGGGTCTGGCAGTTAGTGCTTAATAAAAGCTTGTAGATTGATTGATTCTAGTCCAAGCACCTAATCAACCAGTTGTTTGATAGGTTTCTTTCAAAGGAATTGATTGAAGCAGACTACCATTCAGATATCTTTTGCAAACTGATTGTTATCCTAAAATAAAATTGTTTCTTTTGATTTTTCATTAACTACCTACGGGCAAGTAATTGGAAACCCATATAGCCATTTTCTGAAATACACAGAGTAGCCCTCTAAGAAGAGTAGACTTTGATTAACTTATGTAATTTCCCCTGGACTACTCTTCATCCTGCATGCTTTCACAATGATATACTTTGGATAATTACAGCTATGGATAACTACTGGACGTATGATTTGGAACTTCTAGGTTTGGAAACTCTCTAATCAGGCTGACAACTTATAGTCTTAAGGAGTTGCCTAGAGCTCTGAATGGTTAAATCACTTGACAAAATTGGAATACCCAGTATGCTTCAGAAAGGGGACTTGAATCTTGATCTACCTGACTCTGAGGCTAGCTGTCAGCCTACTATGTCATGCCACCTCTTGTTGTGGAATAAGGAAACTAAATATTGAACCAGTTATCCTCAAGGAAACAGTAATTTAAAATTTTAGTTCCAAAGGTGAATTTTATCATAATGAGAAGTTTCATAACAATAATTCATTAGCTATCAGGTTTAATAAAAAATAAGGTATTCATATTTCCTTTCCATTTATCCTGATTCCTAGTTGTTGCAGATGAGTTCAGAGGGCTGCTAGGGGATCTTTAGAGATTTCAGGACCTAACTGGGTGCTCAGCACAAGGGAGATTGATGATGTTCCTGGGTACTCTGAGAAGTGGAATTGCAAGAGACTTTGTATAACCCACCCCTGGGACAGTTGATTTTCACTAAATGAACCAAACAGTATCCATAGGAAATCAATATCTTGCTTTCACATTCCAAAAGAACAAAAAAAATTATTTTAGATTATCACAAATTAGGTTTATGTTGTATTTTAAAACAAAACATCACCCTTTTCTCTACTACAAGCTGAGGAGCAGGTAACTACAACATGACATTTAGAGAAATGATGCGGGATACTGGGGAATGCTGGGTTTGTGTAAATGAAGACTAAGCATGAGGATTGAAATAGCTGATCTTGTAGATACAAACAGTTCTCCACCAATATTTTATAAAGTTTTGAAAATGTCTAAAATTATTTATTATAGTTATCATGAACTGTAGTCTATAAGTGGATTTCTTTTTTCAGATGTCCTTTTCAAAATTGAAAAAAAAAATTTCCGGCAGCATTGTGACTTAGCTTTGTTTCAGTGGTCTCATGCTAAGTCATGCAAGGAAATTGTAACTCAGGAAGCATGACACAGGAAAGAACACACTGGATTTGGAGTCGAGGGGACATCTGGCTTTAAATTCTGGTTCTGAAACTTATTGGTTGTGCAAACTTTGGGCCACTCAACTTCTCTGAGCCTCAGTTTCCTCCTCTATAAAATGGATCTAACAGTACTTGTAGTTTCTACTTCGCTTCACTACTTCAAAGATAGCAAATCTTCAAGCATTATAAAAATGCACACTAATAGTATTGTTTTTGATATTTTGTTTTCCTTTCTTGGTGGTTACCTTTAGCATCTCTGCCATAGGATAACAGAAGAACAAGAGCATAGCTTACTCCCCACAGGTCTCTTACCTGGGAGTTGTGCTCTAATCTTTAGGTTAAGAGATGACTTCCTCCCCTTGGCTGGAAGAAGGTTGTTTCCATATCGCCATCTGCAGTTTTTACAGAACTTCATCGGTCATGATGTTTCCTTGGACAACTATAGAGTGTTTCCACATTATGATGAGCCTTGAGGCAAAAAGCTGAAGTAAATTCTGCTCCATGGTCCCTTGAAAAGATACATGGGGGTGGGGGGAGGAGAGAGAGACAGCTAGGTATCGAAGTGGATAGAGCACCAACCTTGAAGTCAGGAGGACCTGAGTTCAAATCCAGCCTCAGACCAAACACTTGACACTTACTAGCTGTGTGACCATGGGCAAGTCACTTAACCCCAATTACCTAAAAAAAAAAAAAAAAAGGAAAAAGAACAAGATACATGGGGTGTCTGGCAAGCAGAACAATATTAACTGATATGTAACCTCAATTCCAAATAGATGACCAAAGTCACAGAACTCCAGACTTAATCCAACAAATGACCTCTATGTACCTGTCTATTTGTGTGGATAAACATCTTATAATACTGACCAAAAATAAAAGAGTTCAGCTTCTCTGCAAGATTAGGTTGGAATCGTGGGAGTGTCTTCTGTCATGACTCAATGATATTTATTCTGATACTCTGTGCTTTGGGAGAGTCAAGCAGTGAAACCAATATCACTGAGGTACTTATTCACCATTTCCTCAGCCTTGGTAATTTAACCAGATGTTTCTAATGGTGGTAAAGCATAACTGAGTATATCAATTGATTGGTAGCATTCATTGTTCTTATGATGACTTATATATGATTTTTTTTAATCACAGAAACTGGAGGGTGGGAAAGGGAGTTTAAGGGGGTAAACAATGTGTTTTCAACTAATACCTTTTGAATCTATTATCTTAACCACCTGTCCCAATGGTGATACTATTAATTTAGAGAGGATTGAGCATGAAGCAAGACTATTGGTAGAATTTCTCTCCTCTTTTACTCATGGATGGTGAGTTATCTCACTGGGAAACATCATTCTCAGTACCTTCTTTAAATGTAAAGGGTAATCATATCTTTATCTTTTAGCTCTTCATTTAGAATCCATACCAACAACAATAAAGTTCTGTGTGGTATTCTCCAACTGGGAAAAATATATTGCTATTACTTTGCAAGGAGACTGAAACAAACATTTAATAGAGTCGCCTTTGGTAATATTCTTAATGTAAAACTATCTCTATGTGTATGCTTCAGTTAATACTTACTCTGTTTCTACAATACATGAAATAGTCCTGCTAGGAATTTAATACTAAGGATGAGAATTTTAACTTGAAGTACAAAAAAGCACATGTGTGTGAATAGTAACTAGAGAGAATCCTTCCAAACTAAGAAGACCTGACCTCAAGTTGTACCTCTGACTTATACTGTCTGTATGTCACTTGACCTCTCTGTGTTCCAGGCAACTCTCAGAAAAAAGTATCAATCTGAATTGGTAGAAGTTTACTAACCTTAGTATTCCCTATACCAGTAAATCACTGGCTCAGTCCATATCTATATATCTATATCTATCTCTCTATAATATGTGTGTATATGCTTGTTTCTATGTATAAATATACCCAGAGAGACATAACCAAATCAAGGTTCCTATTCTGTATAACCCTACTGAGAAAAATATGCTTTGGATTTCAAAGGGGATAAGAAGCAAAAGTATAGACTTTCAAGTTAAAAGATGTTTTGGTTATGGCATAGTGGCTAAAGATCTGTCCATGAATACCCACCTCTGTCAGAAATGGATATTTGACCCTGAGAAAGTCATTTTAATGTCTCAGTGCTCTAGGCAACTCTCTTAAAGTTGCAGAGAAAATTCTGTTCTGCCTTGGTAGACAGACTATGCTCATCTGAGTTCCCCTATATCAGTAAAATTCCATGTCTAATCTCTTATCACCCTATATTTTATCCATCTTCATTGCATTTCTTTTGGAGAGCATAAATCCTGAGGAAATGTTGCCAAAGGCTCAATGTTAGAATTGATTTTTGGTATATAATGGGTTATAACAAAAAAATGTTAGTGGCTATAATCCATTGAAGATAGCTTTCATTCTGCCATCATCCAGGGAAGAACAGCTAGGTTGGTCCAGTGGACAGGGACTTGGAATTGGGAAATCCTGAGCTCAAATCTAGCCTCAGACACTTACTAGTTGCATGATTCTAGACAATGCATACACTTTATCTTGGTTTCCTCATCTATAAAGTGGAGATGATAGTAACACCTACCTTCCCAGGGTTTTGTGAGAATAAAAAAATTGTAAAGTGTTATTACAAACCCAAAAGAACTATATAAATGCTAGTTATTATTATGAAAAGTAAACAACCTGAAGCAGCCAAAAACAAAAGCCACGAAACCCCCGAAGTCTTTATTAAAAAACAAACAAACAAAACCAGTTTCTTTGTGTGCTTTCCCATAGGATTACAGAGTGAATATCTTCCTCCGTCAGAAGTGGAATGATCCGCGTCTTGCATATAGCGAATACCCCGACGATTCCCTAGACTTAGATCCCTCCATGTTGGATTCCATTTGGAAACCTGATCTTTTCTTTGCTAATGAAAAAGGTGCCAACTTTCATGAGGTTACGACAGACAACAAATTGCTAAGAATTTTCAAAAACGGCAATGTGCTGTATTCAATCAGGTGAGTCCGAGACGGGAGAACTATTTAAATTTTTCGTTTTCCATGTCCATGTTTTTCTTGCCAACTATCGACATTGAGAGCTGATGCAGCTGTTGTTCCACATCAACAGAGGCCAGCAGGGAGGATTAAATAGAAATTGAAGGACAAAGAAATCTAACATGAAATAAAAAATGGAAAAAAAAAGTTGGTGAATTCACTAAAACATCTACAAGGGGAAAAAAAAAAACCTTTTCCAGTTTGCCTGGGTATATCCCACCTTGTTATGCTCTCTTTCCCTTTTCTACTTCTATCTTTCTTTCTTTGGCCACCTTTTTTTTACACTTTTTATCTTCATTCCATGGAGGTGACAACACAAATCACAATGGCAGACCAAGACAGAAGGCTTAGAAAGCATTCATTTTAACATTTATGCATTTCTGTGAAGAGCCCAATGCATTTTACTGTCATTGATCTCTCATATTTGGTCCTATACTTAGACAAGGTCATAACAACAGGACTAAGGTTTTTTTTATGGTATTGCTCACTTGAAGATACCAATGGAACGCCTCCACTTTCATCTATATGCTTCGGTATTTTGTAGCTCTGGCTTCTGTAAGACAGGTAAAAGACAGGTATCTAGTTTCTCCCTCACAGATTGGTCTGACAGGAACCTTCATCAATCTTATAATTGAATCCTCTGTCATTCAGAACAGGCTGGATCTCTGAGAGGTACATCAAACATGGAAGTCATCTGTTGCTGAGGAGGATTAAGACATAGTACTTCTGCCAGATCTTTTGGTGGTTTATTTCAAAGACAAAAATCTTTTAGTGTCAAGGACGATTGCCTTGTAAAATAAGGGAGCTGTACTTAGCCTCTCAAATGTCTTCTGGCTCTAAATGCATACTCTCCTAAGGTTTGTAATGTGCTTTCCCTCATTTGATCCTCACAAAACCCCTGGGAAGCAGGGCAATTATTGTCTCCAAGGTAGAGGGAAAGTGAATTGCCCAGGATAACACAGCTAGTAAATATCTGAAGCTAGATTTGAACTCAGGTCTTCCTGACTCCAAGACTGGCATTATCTTCGCTACACCACCTAGCTGCATTCCAAAAACTGTTTACCTTAACAATGGAAAGAATGATATGCAGGGAAATCTCTACAAACTGTTGTGGATCTAAACTAAATTGATTTTAATTGGGCCCATCATTTTTTTCCCTTTTATTAACTAGGTTCTCTCAAAAATTTTGATGTGTAAGATGATTCTGAGGGTTTCTGCTACAAATGTTAGACCCATTGTTGGATGCCATTCTTGAAATCAGGCTGACCTGCTGTTCCCATAATGTTATCTCTTCTCTTCTTTCTTTGCCAATGAATCAATTGCTTCTTAAAAATGACAGAATGAAATAACCATGAGAGAAAGTACTTTATTTTTCTCAGCTGTTATTTTTAGCATTTTTCAAATAGATGACAAATGTACCTCTGACTGATTAATTTCTATATAGGAAAAGAAGGTAAAGAGGGGTTTTTTTTATTTATTAAATTTAACATTTCCGTAATTCTCCTATAAAGATCAACAAATTTTGAGGTGAATATCAGATCTGAGTTGAATTTCAAAACCTTTAAAAAATATTTGAATAAGATATAATGAAAGTTCTTTCTCCATGTAATTCAAGTTTTTTCTACACTGATAAAGGATACATGTAAGATTATTTTCTATATAGTAATTATGATTTTTTAAAAATCTATCTTTTTTGAGGACCAGTTGTAACTCTAATCCAGCAAAACAAAACAAAACAAAACAAAACCAAAGTACTTTTTAATCTGCAGTGTTTCAGAGTGCTTAGAGTCCTAGAGAACTTTTAATGAATTTAAGATTTTAGGATCCTCAGTTTGGAGCTGAGGGATCATAGGTGACCTAATTCAAACCTATCATTTTACAGCTGAGGAAACTGAGAACCAGAGATATTAAGTGGTTTGGCCAAGGTTACATAGGTAAAAAGTACCAGAACTAGTATCTGAACCCAGGTCCTCTGACTTTAAATCCAGAGACAAAGATATAGGGTGGCTTAAATGATTAATAATACTAATAAATCAATGCGTAAAAGATTTGTGATTCCATCAGTGGAAGAAATCCTCTCACCAAGATGGGTCACAACCTATTCATAACTTAGTAGATATTTTATAGAGTTACCTGAGCCTCATAGGGTTTTATATATTTCTCCGTGTTCAGCTAATAAGTAAGTATTTTGTATAAGATTTCAGCCCAGGTGCTAAACTCTATCCACTATACCATGGTATCTCTTTAATAATGATAATTTATAAATGCTACAAATAATAATAAAAGGATAAATTTTATCTAAAATAAGGACAGAGCTACAAATTTGCTTATTCATGGAAACTAATTTCATTCTCTTTTCACGTAACCCAGCAAGATAAGTTTTCCCAAGAAGCATTACATTTCCTACTTTTTTTATAAAAAGATAGAAAATATGTAAAATTCACTCCCCATGGCATTCATTTCTGACCATGTTTCATTTCTTGACTTTAAAATATATTATCCAATTCTTTATTTCGTTTTCACCTGCTCTATTTCCTGTTTTGAATGCTTATAACTAGCCTGCTAAAATCTATTTTATGGTGTTGATAAGACAGCATAAAATGTGACACATTTATCACAAAAATGTTTCTCATAGAATATGGACTATCTCAAAATGGCAGTTGGCTATAGCAGAGAACAACTGAAAATGGATTCTTTAAAATGAAAGTAAATGATTAAAGCATGTGGTCATAAAAATGCTAAAATGAAACAAATAGAATATTTTCTCCTATATGCATAGTCTGTATCAGATTGAATGCCATCTTGGGGAGGAGGGGAGAGGAAAGAGGAGGAAAATGCAGAACTCAAATTTTATAACAGTGAATGTTAAAACTAAAAATAAATAAAATTTTAAAAAGATATTTTTATTTATTCTTTCTTTTTTATTTATCTTTATTATTTCTTTATTATTCTTTTTTAAAAAGAATATTTTCTCCTTGTAAGCTCACACTGATTCAACTAACAATTCTTTCATGACATGCCTACTATATTTCAGGAACTGTACTAAGCATTGAAGATACACAGAAAAGAGCAAAAACAATCCCTAATTTCAATGAGATTATATTCTAGTGAGAGAGCCAACATGTACCTATAGAAGTAATATACAAGATACATAAAAGCAGATATAAAGTGATTTTAAAGGAGAAGGCATCAGGATCTAGGAAGATTCAGAAAGTCCTCTGTTAGAAAGTGGGATTGCAGCTGAGCCTTGAAGGAAGCCCAGAGAAACTAAGATGCAGAGTGAAGGGACAAAACATGCCAGGCATGGAGCCAGACTGGCATAGAGAAAGAATATAGAAAGTTGTACATTAGGAAGAAAAAGTAGGCCTGTGTAGCTGGATAACAGAGAGTGTGGAGGGGAGTAAAGGATGACTAGAAAGATGGGAAGGGGGCACATTGTGAAGTTTTAAATGTCAAACAGAGGAATATCTGTTGGATCCTCTAGTTCATGGGGCGCCATTGGACTTTGAGAGGTAAGATAGGTGACCTGTGGTCAGACCTACACTTCAGAAAAATTACGTAAGTGACTCTGTAGGGGATGAATTAGAGTAGGAAGTGCCAATAAGAATAATTAAGAGGCTATTGAAGTTGTTCAAATAAGTGGGATGAGGGCTTGAACTACAATAGTGGCTATAGAAACGGAGAACAGAGGAAACATATGAGACTTTGTGAAGACAAAAATTATTATATTGGGCAAGTTATTTGGATATATGACATGAGGGACAGTAAGTACAAGCTGACATCAAGGTTGGAAAACCGGGTGACTAGTTTAGTGGTGCCCCCCGCACCTGCCACCCATGTTTATGCAAAAGTTTGGTGGAAGGATGGTTTGCGGGTAGGATTTCTGAAATATCTACAGGACATCCTTTTTAAAATGTCCAATAGGAAGTTTATAATACAGGGCTGGATCTCAGGAGATCCTATGGCTAAGATATATGTGTGTGTGTATATATATATATGTACACATATATGTATATATATATATATATATATATATATATATATACATATATATATTAATGTATATATACACATATATGTATATATATATATACATATATATATATATTAATGTATATATACACATATGTGTGTGTGTATATATTTATCTGGAAGTCATCTCTATAGAAATGATAATTGAATCTATAGGTGTTGATTAGAATCATCAAGTGAGGGAAAAAAAAGGGAGAAAAGGCTGATAGCCCAGAACAGAGTCTTCACTCATAGTAGCTATGACATGGATGAAGATCCAGAAAGTTCTACAGATTCAATCACTCACCAAGCATTTAGGAAGCACCTCCTATGTGCTAGGCACCATGCTAAACACTAGGATTATGAAGAAAGACAAAAGCAATCCTTACCCTCAAGGAGATCCCATTCTAATGGAAGAAATAACATGCAAACAACTATATACAGCTAGACATACAGGATAAAGTGGAAATAATCTCAGAGTCAAGGCACTAACATTAAAAATTGTCAGGAAAGTATTCTTGTTTTCTTGCAAGGCAATTGGGATTAAGTGACTTGACCAAAGTCACACAGCTAGAAAATGTTATGTGTCTGAGGCCAGATTTGAACTCAGGTCCTCCTGACTCCCAGGCTAGTGCTTTATCCACTGTGCCACCTAGCTGCCCCACCCCCCAGGAAAGTATTCTTACAGAAGGGAGGGTTTTAACTGAGACTTGGAAAAGCTAGGAAGCAGGGATGAAAAGAGAGAGACTTCAAGGAATGTGGAATGGCCATTGAAAATGCAGAGTTGGGAAATGAAATATCTTGGGAGAAAATCAACACAGAGGCCAGTGCCACTAGATCATAGAATACAAGGGAATATATTTGATTCTGGAAGTAATAAGCAGTCAATCAATTTTGTTGAATTGGGGGTAGATGTGACACAAAGATCTCATTGCTCGCTGAGTAGAAGACAGAAGAAAGACTTCCTAATTTACCTGGATTTGTGGGTGATGTTCAATTCAATTTAACAAACATTTAATAAGCACTGAGAATCAGCATGGCATAGTAAGCCAGAAAAACCTGGATTCAAGTCTCATCTGTGATGAGACATACTGGCTGTGTGACCCTGAACAAATTTCTTAACTTCACCAAGCTCTAGGCAACTCTCTGAGGCTATGAGTGGGATTGAGACCGCTTACCCAAATAAAAACTCAGAGGTTTCTCCAAGCAGAAAACAGAAGTTTTATTCTAGCAAGTCTCCAGTGAGAGTTGGGCATCAACTACCCAGGGCAGACTGGAGTAGTGAGGCCCAGCACAAACAGCAGCAAGCAGTTATATAGTCTTAGGCAAACCACTCCAAAAAGCCCCCCTCCCCACTTGTTTGTTTCAATCTCTTTATCCTCATTGGCTGAGGCCACAGACCTCACAGTCTATATTTAGAACCCAAGAGATACATTTTACTCAAAACCTGCTTGGGAGCTAGAAGATTGCCTTATTTGGTAAAGTTAAGGTACAAAACAAAAGAGGGGGTAGTTACAAAACAAGGGAGGGGGTGGGCAGCTGGTGCACAGCCCCCATTCCCCAAAAATGAAAGTGAAACTTAGGCCCAGCTCATGCTGAAGTCTCCCTACATTTTGGAGCATAACTTACATTTCACATGAGAAATTTTCACTTGTCCCACACAACTATATATTAGAAGATGTATCCATCTGAATTGTTACAGGGAGTGTCATCATGCTGTATTTTTCTATACCAATGAAAGCAGATGTCTTTTCCCTACCCCTATTAAAGCATCCACTATGGATTTTCCAAGTACAGAGATACAAAGAGAAAAATTAAATACTTCTGTCCTTCAAGGATCTTATATATTACAGTTGCCAAAGTGTTAAACTTTTGAGACAAGGGCTAAATGATCTGGGATTCTATGACAAGCCAGCTGCAAATTGGATGTTTTCTTTTCATTTTAGTGAGACTAATTTGTTTATTTTACATTCAAGGCAAGATTTGTAAAATTTGCTCTTATACGAAGCCAAGGATTCTTATGTGCAAAACTGAAAGGACCTGAGCCTGCTTTCATGTCTTGTCAACGAAACACAGTGCTCTCTCTTTCAGTAAGAGCTGTCCACTTCAAACAGTTGAATGTGATTAATTGCTGTTTATTTTGGGGATGTTTGGTTTAGGAGCTGTGTGTTTGCCTTTTTCAGGCCCTCAGTGTTCTTTATTTTGTAGTCTCCATTTTGATAACTACTCTAATGGTACTAACACGGAACTGACTCAAAGTTTACGACAATGCTATCTATCAAAGAAACCTCCCTAAAAACCTTAAACCAAAAGGACAGAAATGTCAAAGATCTTGTTTTTTTTTTCCAGGATATGAGTTACAGCAGCAATTCTTATTTTTCTTAGCCAGATAGCTCCTTGAGTCTTGCTTTTTGAAATTATATAATGTCTGTTGGTTTTTGTCCAGTGAAATCATCAGGATACGTATGTTGCTTCTCATAGCATAGGAGCATACAAGAGTTGGAGAATGAATGTGTCCTTTCACAGAGAAGGTCAAAGTGCTCATTGTCGAAGCCAAAACTTTTTTTGACTATTCCAGTCATCTTGAGTATTTGAAAAATTCATGTGATTAAAATGAAAGCAGACTTGTAGCATGTAATGCTAATTAATACAAATCCAAACCTGCCTGCTTTCAAATTCCCTTAAAGGAACCCACAATGCAGAGTATATAATGGTAACTGTAAAGTTTTGTAACCTATCTGAGCCAGGTGAAAAAGAGTCTAATAATTGAGCAGCCCCTTTGTAAGTAAAAATACAAAGTATATGAAATTCTCCAGTGTGGGCGTTCAAGAGGTATAATCTACCAACTGATACCCTGTTCCTTCCTCCATTTTTTTTTACATTACTACTCTTACGACGCCTTGTACTTTCTTTAATGCCTCTGTTCAACAAGAATTTTTATGGGTTGTGGGTGATTTGTTTTGATCATGTCATCAGTTATATAAAGTATTATTCTTTTTCCTATTATTATTATTATCCAATTTAACCAAAATCAACAATATGTGCCTTTCCCCCTCCACCATGAAAATAAAACACAAATTTAAATCTGCTTATCTTAAAGTGATTATTATATTGCGCATAAGCTTTCTCAAAGCTAGTGGGCATCTTGACATTGAAGCTCATTCTGATTTAAATAGATGTTATTGCCATCAAACAAGGTGTTCTTTTCTTTTCAGTTATTGCCTCATTACTGAAATATTTATGTGATGTCATCTTTCATAATAACTTTTCAAAATTGTTTCAGATTGACATTAATACTCTCCTGCCCAATGGATCTCAAAAATTTTCCTATGGATGTACAAACGTGTATAATGCAACTGGAAAGCTGTAAGTATGAGCAATATGAACTCTGATTATTGTTAACATATATTTTGACACAAAATTTCAGCAGTAGTTAAACATTAATGAAGGATTTTTTAAAGTATTTTTACAAGATTTTGTTGCTTAATGGGGCTATCTTTCAACTGAGTATTGTACTAGACTAGAAAAGTGGCAATAGCTAGCAAAGAATCATACCATTTTACATTCTAAAGAAATAGAGAAGCTAAGGATAAAGATATAATGGGTTTTGCCTTTCAAATGAGCTAATGTCTATTTTTTATGGTTAAATTATACTGATTTTTTTTTTAGAAAACCTTTAACTCAATAATGGAATACCTTAAGTAAACTGATTAGTAAGTAAAATGCTCACCATTGGACCAAAACAACTGAATCTTTCAGTGTAACATACATGCAGCATGAAATGTGCCCTAAAATCGACCTTTTAGGTAAATTTAGTTTGTGAGGTGGAGGTGAATGGTGGAACCAAACTTGAGCAGAAGTAAATCTAGGAGTGGTAGGGGAGAAAAGGAAGGGGAGGAAGCTAATACTTGGTAGTTTTCTGTTTCAACTAAGTATTCTTCCTAACTCATTGCCAAGGTTAGTTGTTTCTACACTGCGAAAGGATTGTAATTTCTATTAGTGTACCCACATTTTGTCTTTAATTAAAAAAAAAAAGGTCCTGGTCAGCTTGGCCTAAGTAAAGTCCCACATAAATGTCGATGTCCTAGCACACGTAATTGATTTGCGTTCAAGAAATTTTCACTCCTGTCAGCTTTATACCTCTGTACTTATAAAACTAAACCATACACAGGAAGTAAAAAAGAGCCTGTGATAAAACTATTCAACAAAAAGATTTAATTACCTTTTCAATCCTCTTAGAGCTTTTTTCTAGTCTCTAGGAACCCATCACATGAAGTTTGCAGAAGTCTCAATTAGATAATGCTTCTGCTTTATGTTGTTATTATTGTTCTTTTCACAGACCAATAACCCTATTCTTTTTAATATACAGGTTACCAATACTCTAGACTTAGAAATTTCCTTTATATGAAATGTAACTCTATAACCAAACTACAATTCCTCAACACATAACTGATTTTTAGAATTTACATCATTTGGAGCAAGTTTAAAAGTAATTGTGAAAATCAAGTATCTATTAGGAGCCACCTAGTGATTTAAATACTTTTTTAACCTTAGAAGTCTCCTAGAATTATAGAGCAAATTACACTAGAATATCTTCTTGAGGTCGTAGTTCTTCCTAGACTAACCCTTCTGTCCATCATTTCTATATACACTTCCACTGAGCTGTCCAGCAGCAAGCATTGTCTTTAAAGTTGGTTTCACAGTCCCAGCCTCCCTCTTGATTAACTAGTTGTTTATTTAAAGGTTGAATTTGGTTTAAGGGATATCCCCCAGAAAAGTTATGATTTTAATATGTAGTAGACCAATTATAAACCAAGAGTACGTGATAACAATGGGATGACCTGAATTATACACCGATATTCATGAAATGGCTTTTTAAAAAGACCTAAAAGAAAATGCCCAGTGTGTTGGGTAGATCTTCTAAGGAGAATTCATGGGAAAACATAGACAAGAATGGGATGTGATGATGCAACATGAAAGAGTTACAATAAATGCCATTGGAGTAAGTCCTCACACCAATAAATTCATGCATTCAGTGAAGTATTAAAAAGTATTTGTGAATAGGGTTGTTTTCCCATATCAGATAGAATTCCAGATAAGCTGGAAGTATGAGTAGCCTTGGCTTAACTATTATTTTTACTCCTTCTACCACTACCACTTAATATCTCTGTGATTTTAATCAATTCATTAGACTTCACCAGGCCTCAGTTTCTCTATCTACAAAATGAGAGGGCTTGGACTTGAGAATTCTAAAGTCTTTTCTATCTCTAAATCTATGACTGAACTATATAATCCCAGGGTCTTTAAAGTCAGAGCTGCACTGTGGACTGACCCCTAGGTGTGTGATATTAACTAATCAGAAGATGGAAAAAACAGCTTACATCTCACCCTCACTGCCATAGCCAAATACAGGGTTTGTTTTCAGTACATCAGTGCCTATTCTTATTGCCCAGTATTCCACTACTCCTCTCTGTCCTTCTGCTATGCAATATCCCAGACTACCCCCTTTGTGAATATGGTAGTGTTCCCAGAGAAGGAGGGACCAATTAAGAGGAAAGAACCAATTGGAGAAGAGGGAAATAGATAGGATTTTCTCTAGGACAGGAAGGTAGTTGGCAAGGAGGAAGAGCTGGCAAGAGAGTCAGGAGTGAAGTCAGTTGTTAAATCTTGCTAAGTCGACCTTCTCATGTCTCACATCTGTCCCTTCTATCTATTCATGAATCCCCCATTACTACTTATCACTATTCTCATTTCGTGCTGTTTTATAATCCTCATAATTTTATTAGTACAATAGTAAATGTATATAATTTATAAATATGTAAATATGCACATATTGTAGGGTGCATGATCATAGAAAGTAGAGGCCACTAATCTAATCAAGTCCATACCTAAAACAAGAATTCTTTTCATGGAATTAATTCGTTGATGTTTCATTAATCATTCAGTGAAGTAATTTATTCTCTCCTTCAGCCATTGGGGGAGACTTAAATATAGATCAAGTGGACATGAGAGCAACTCTGTTGCCCTCTTTTTCTTAACCCTTAAAAAAAGGAATATAACATATTAAAACTTTTTCAAAAGCATGTGATTTCTATGCCTCTATTATAGAATAGTTTGAGATCAGGGTTACTTTTTAAAAAAGAAATTTATTTTCCGTGTATTTATTTTCTGTAAAAAAAAATTTCTCTTTTAATAAAATGCTATAAGAACTGGTGAAAAAACCTCAAGGTTGTTATAATTCTCACTGTGGAATGGATTCTTATTGAAAACTAAAAATAAACACTATGACTTTTCAAGTATGGAGAGAACAAGAGAAAGAGAAGAGAAATAAACCTCAAGTGAATTCTTTACTCCCTGCAAAGGGAATATCCAACCATAATCCAATGCTTTCCAATTGGAATTCAGGTAATAGAGTCATAGGGTTTGGGTTCAAACTCTGCCTCATTATTTAGAGTTGTGTGACCTTGAGCAAGTCACTTAACCTCCCAAGGCATTAGTTTCCCAGAACATAAAATGAGAGGATGGGCTAGATGGCCTCTCTAGTCCTAGCGAGATCTAAATCTATGATCCTACACATTCAATAAACATTTATTGACTGTCTGCTATGTATGAATATATCTCTGGGGCATTCAAAGGGAATGAAAGTTCTCTACCCTCTAATAACATGAAGGAGGAAACTGGATACAGTAGACAGAACACTGGCTTTGGAGTTAGAGGACTTGGGTTTAAATCTCACCTCTGATGCTTTCTATCCATGTGACCTTGGACAAGTCATTTTAACTTCACTAATCTCTAAGTTTCCTTAACTACAAAATGACAGGGTTAGAATTAATGGCATTAAAGCCCATTTTAGCTCTAGACCTCTGTCCCCTATGAGCTTTTGATTGCATAAACATAAATCAAACACAAAAGTGTTTGTGACTGACTACCAAACTATGTGACTACAACTAATAAATGTAGGGTGTCCAAAGAAGGTGCCACAAGCGGATATTCAAAGAGGCACTTGGATTTGGAGATTGGGGTAACAGCATAAATGAAAGTTGGCCAAAACGGGGTGTTCAAAATAAAATCACCACTGGACATCTTGAAGAAGAGGTTAGATGAGTAATTGTAAGCCATACCACAGGTGGGATTCCTGTGCAGCATAGATTTGGCTTCCTGAGGACCTGTGAATCTTTGAGAGGTTGCCAAGGCAAAACAAAAAATATAAAGAGAAGGTCAGTGACAAATCTTTAGAAAAAGGAAAATGAATTATCAAAGGAAACTAAAGAATGATTGAAAAGGTAGGAGGAAAGGCAGAGTGAGAGCCAGCACTTTTGCCCAGCTTAACAAACACAACAACCTTGAAAATGTGCTATACCAAATTCTGATTGAGAAAGTTGGGCATAGAAATCTATATTACCCTATAGAAAAGTAGGGGAGAAAGGGATAAGAAAAGAGGGGGTACTAGAAGGGAAGAAAGATTGGGAGAGGGAGTAGTCAGAAGCAAAACACATTTGAGGAGGGACAGGATGAAAGGAGAGAGAGAGTAAAATAAATGGGGGGGATAGGATGGAAAGAAATACAGTTAGTCTTCCACAACATGACTATTATGGAAGTGCTCTGCATGACTACAAATGTATAACCTATCTTGAATTACTTGCCTTCTCAATGGGGGAGGGGGGAAAGGGAGAGAATTTGGAACTCACAGTTTTAAAAATGAATGTTAAAATTGTTTTTACTTGTAGCTGGGGAAAAAGAAAATACTGGGGGGGGGAAGAAATACTTGAAACAGAAAGATACACATAATGTTAAATAAAGGGATCAAGCAGAATCTATTATGCTTCCACTCAAGTAGAAAAACTATAGGGGTGGAAATCATGATTTCACACAAATCAAAACCAATAATAGAGATGAAAGGGATACCAATTATGGGGATAATTAAAAGATATAAAGAAACTATATTTTGCTAAAAGGGTACCATAGACAGTAGATATCAATACTAAATATATATGCACCAAATGGCAGAACATCCAATTTCTTAAAGGAAAATTTAAATGTTGTAGGGCAAAATAGTCAATGAAATTATACTAGTGGGGCATCTTAATCTACTCTCACACTACCTTCACATGTCTAGGTGAATCTAACTGTAAATGAGCAAAACAAAAGTTAAGGGGATGAATAGAATTTTAGAAAAATTAAATATTACCAACCTTTGGAGAATATTGAATGGGAACAGAAAAGAACCATTCCCTTTTCTTAGCTGTGAATGGCACCTTCACAAAAATTGACCTTATATTGGGGTGTGAAAACTTCAGAAATTCATTAAAGCAGACATATTAAATGCATCTTTTTTCTGACCATAATGCAATGAAAATTACATTTAA